AAAAAATCCTTTTACAGTCCTACCGGCGGGGCTGTTCCATGGACTACAATTCCTCACACGCCTGTGCGTATTGCAGCACTTTCCGTTCTCATATATATATATATATATATATTGTTATTTCTCCAATCATTGGACTCTGTCGTCTGCCCCTCTGGCCCCTATCCTCCACCTCTACTAGCTAGACGACCCCACCGCGGTCACATAGGAGGGGGGGGCCGAACCCTCTCCTGCGGTTCCTGCCTGAGGTGTTTTTATCGCGAGAAGGGTACAGCAATCCCTTCCCTCGCGACTTACGAAGTCGACTATGGTTTACTATCAACGAGCTTTGCAGCGCGTCGCTTTCATCCTAGACCAGGTTTTGTTTAGTGAGAAAAAAACTCACTTTGCCGGGACTCGACCCCATGACCTGGGCCTTAGCAGGCTGCGAGGTTTTCCACAAGACCACCGGGGCGACCGGTGTGTCGAATGTATTCCATTGGCTCCTCCCCTGCTCGCTCTGTATTCGTAGGGGCAAATGCGCCCCCCAGTGCACTGCCCTTCGCGCTTCTCCTAGTTTGGGACTACAGAGCTGGAGACTGCCTCGAAGCTGCAAGGTTGAACGGAATGTTACGTATCGATCCCGGCACATCAACTGCAGGACATAGATAGATCCGTGTTGTGCAAGCTCAAACCTAATTTATGCTGCTCTGTGTCGCTTTTTTCCCTGTAGCTGGATCAACGGAAGCCAGCTGGATCAACTCGAGGTCGGCATTTTCGACGATGTCGTGGCTCTTAAGCATTTGTAAGTGTGGCGCAAGCGGTGCCAGAGCAGTGAATGAGATTCCGGCATTAGTAACCGTGTCAGATCCCAGTTCGTAGAACGATTTTTCGGTGGCAAGGGTCGTCGCATTGTTCGGGTCATTGAAACCCTCGCATCTATAGACTAAGGAACCATGATAGTTCAGGTCTCTGCTGACGACGGAAAACGAGCGCCGTGGCCTACAAATGAATCTAGTTATTTCTGGAGCATTGCGACAAACCACCGCCACAGCGTGCCTCCTTCGTCTGCACTAGAACACTTCCAGAGTCATGCAGAATACAAAATGCATACCCTCCCATCAATGTGCCGGAATGTTCACCGTCCTCCGGGTTCCTTCGTTCATATCTGTCCCTGTGCAACATCTCCCCGAGAGTGTTCCTGCTCGAAATGCTGCATAAATGCTCACCCAATGTCAGGTTCCATCATGTGGTTCAATCCTTCCTAAGGTTACCTCTAGGACAATCCATAGGCCCGCCCCTTTCCTGTCCGTCAGGCGCAGTGAGATACTCCAAACACCCTTCCGCGCCTGCCACTGTGTCCGCGTTTGCTGCAGATATCTCCACAACAACAACCTCAGCTCTGTAGACGTGTCGCTCCTGAACACTCTCCAGGATCTTCAAATCTTGTGAGTACCGGACTGATCGCGGTGTCGTCTCCTTTGTGCTACAGAATCGGCAAGCTATTATAGAGTAAACGGCTGCGTACAGATAGGCGCTGCATCTACATGTGGAATTAATTTTCGGAAGTTCGGATCTCTGAGGCGTATCTTGGAATTCCTGTCTTACATTTGTGTCGTTCTTCCCCGGTGCATGCATGCTGTGCATCGATGCGCTGCTATATTGTTGGACACGTGCATATTCATCATGACATATGCGTCATGTTCCCTCCCATTTTCCGGATGTCCGAGAGGGCTTTCGACATGCTTCTCCGTTTCCTACACCGACCGAAAGGGTTCTTCCTTGCAACCAAGGTTGGATATATGAGCAAAGTTAATAACGTTCAAAATTTCCTTGATGTCATCCGTGGGTGCCTTCCTGAACATGCCGTCCCCCCAGCGATGTTCGAGGAAACAACCTGGAGACGCTGCCATCGGCTGTTTTCGGCAATGAGGCTCTGCGATCCCTTAGTACATTGTGAGCACCAACGCGTGTGGAGCACATTGATTGCTCCTCTGAGTTGGTACGATCACGGTGTCCCGGGAATTTCATAGGCCGAACCACGAAGTACATCACGAACGAGTTGAGGATTCTCGGAGGGTTTCAGGCTGCAAATTTTTTTTTGCGGCGATGGTTCAATTGGCGTTGCTACCGAGGTACTTCCTCGGTGTATTGTCCGTAAGTCCGACGGGTTGGCTCGATACAATCTGGTACTTGTACCATCATGTTTTGACCAAAGAGCATCTTGGGAAGATGGCAAGGGAGCCATGACGCCGTCGCAATCGTGACCTACCCGTCCGTCCACACAATACTCGCCTCGTGCATCCGCCTCGTGTTTTTCATTCGTTCGGTCATGTATGCTATGGCAACAAGAAGCCCCAACCTGCAGCCAACACCACAAAACAAACGCGCTTTAACGAAGGAAGTGTTTGCGGCTTCGCGTCCCACGTGTAATAGTCGTCGACGGAGCGACCTTTTCTGCTTCTCACAGCGATCTCTTGGTTCAACCACATGTGGAAAGCCCGTAACAAACAGACCGCAACCTTACCCAAGCGTCTTTGAGGGATGCATGCCGATCCGTTGCAATCTTGCTGAGCCCCGTCGATGCCGTCTCATTCTCCAAATGCCTCCCCTGGAACCTCCGTGTACATAAATTTATCAGGGAACGACATCTCTTCCCTTCCGCTCGGCGTTTTCGGTGGTCTTACCGGACTTTTGAAGCTGTGAGGGGACAATATGTGGACCTTTGAGTATTTCGTTCTCTTTTGGAATGGAGTGGGAGTGAGCACGACAAGGACCTATCTTGAACCTTTCCAAAGGAACTTACCTAACGCCGGTCGTTGAGTAGATGTTAATTGTACTAGTCAGCGCTGACTGGTCTAATTGTGTAACTTTATCAAATTAAAGGGATGCGTCACACGGTTGATGAACCCGTCAACGTATAGAGGGTCACGAAGTGATACATGTATCCGAGTAGTATTGTGTGCTTGCACACTTTAGGATGAACATCGACATTTCACCGCCGACTACATATTATCACAAGGTTCCCCCGTTTCCTACCTACTAGGTATCTTTCGGACAATCCGTTGGGAACGACACTGGCGGCCGGGACGTTCGCTGGCTTGGAAGCGCTTGAAACACTGTTGAGTACGAGTGTTATAGGGCACGTGGTGCGCCCTATTCGTTCCCATTCATTCGCATTTTCAGTAGGTTGGTTTTGGCATATCGCCGAGCCGTGAGCACTCGTGGGTAACCCGTTCGAAACCATATTTCCGCTGTTGCCGAGACGGCCTTTCGTCGTGGTGGAGCATGAGTGATCATACTCACAGCTCGCACGCTTTGTTGATGAGGTTTGACCTACGCTTTGAGCTCAGACATGGGATCATGTTGAGTTCGTTCCTGTTGAGGTTTGCGACATTACGACTGTTGTCGCTCTCCTTTTCGCAGGTACACAGCAACCACAGGTCATTCTCTGCATGTTGGCATCAATACCGCGTGGATTTCACGCTCGCCACGCTCTCTCACAAAAACACCCTTCTATTTGTCGAATGATTTGCGACCCAGCACATGTCAAAGGCGGGCCTTGAAAGCGTTTTCCGTCACGCCCCGTGTCGTCCACGCAGAACTCTTTCGAATACACAGCTGGAGACCTTGCAGGCGGGGCTTTTCGACGGGCTGACAGCGCTTAAAACACTGTGAGGGCCCGGTTGAAACCTGCCGAGTGTACAGACGGTTTTTGGTTTCAGGTAGAAATAGTGGAGCCCTTGTGTTCGCAACATTTGCTGATTCGTTATCAATACCTTACAGTGGTGGGCAACAGCACCTACTTGTTGGGCGCACGAAGGCCGCCTAATTTGTCGCTCATAATATGCACAGCACCTCTCTTTTCGCAGGTGCCCTTAAGGTTGAGCACATATTTTCGATTTCATTCGGGAGCGACCATGCTACGCCTGCTTCGAAGCTACGACAGCAGCGAGAACACGTTGTGCACTCAAGTATTGACATGGACGTCCTCGCCGTGAAAATATCCCCTTGTCCCGAGGGCTTGTCGAATGACTCTAATCCATCCCCTTCATCTCCGTGTTGTCTCACACCAATTGCGAACTTTTTATGCTGTGAATTGGTTCTGCTCAGGGGCTTGGAAGGCAACGGTGACCTCCAATGTGTTCCCTCGACAGCGGGGTAAGCTGTGGGTGTGAATGGGCGCGCTGAAACAGGTCTCCCCGCAATTAATTGGAATACTTGTTGTACTAACCCCTACCCCGTCGACAATTTGCAGTACGACCTTGATTTCTGCTGCAGTCGTGATCGTACGAGCCAAACTTCAGCAAGCACGACACGCAACACCTTTCAACGACGACCAATACCCAAAGACAATCCAGGCAAAAGTGTCGCTGTCTTACTGCAAGGGGGGACTTGTGGAGTGAGTTTGGTGTGGGGCTATCGCTGTCAACTGCGGTCATAGCACATAATAAGTCGACACAACCGCCATCCACCACCTCTGTTTGCTCCTTTGATCTACTTGTATCGTTGTGTCTCACATTAGCTCTGAGTCTACATGTTTGCATCCGTCCATGCGCAGGTCTCCTGCTTTGGCGGTCAGCAATGTGCTACTCCCGGCTGGTTTCGACACCAGCGCTGTGTGCTGTGAGACTATGTGCATACCTTTAATGATTTCCCTGTCGAATTGACTCCACGAAATGTGTTCGGGAGGGAGATGTAGTCTATGTATCCGAAAAGCATCACAAAGGGCACACGGCCTTGTGGTGAATATGTGTAGCCTCTGGTTGTCGATGTACTCATTACTGATTGCAGTTCCTGCCTCTACGTATTTAGCCTAGTAGTCCTGAAGATGAAAATATCACACCGGAGGTGCACCCCGTTACCTCCAGTTTGAGCTTCACCACGGGTTGCTTGTGCATGAATGAACGTGCACACACATGGCGGATGGATCTGCTAGCAAATGCTCCATGGGTAGAGAGAGTCATATGGTAGGAAGCAGAGAATACACAACATGCCGTGGGCTCTTCGGCTTGGCGAGTTGGATGCAAGGGAATCGAAGCACAAGGGATCATGATCAACGAAGAAGTGGTGGCGACGTTTCAGCCACAGCAAGGCATGTCTCGCTCTTATCTTCATGCCCCGAAATGGTTGCTGTTCTGTCGGTCTTGAAGCTTGCCCCGGGGAAGATACCTGCAGCGATTGCCTCCCTGGCGAAAACGGTTTTATCTGCACCGGTAAGTCGTGGGTGGGAGGCTTCGGTGTTTATACGTGAAAGTATCCAACGCCGTCTCAAACGTTGTACATCTAACGCCCGCAGGAAGATGGTAGTCCTGGAATGAATGTGGTAATACCGTTGGGCGACTGGTCAACCTATGATGAGACTAACACGTGAGCATGATTTTTGTTCCTCAATGAATGTTGGCTTCTACTCGGTGATGAGCACAACGGATGCTCGCCCCCGAAAACTTGCTTGTTGGGCAAAGCCTTGAGAATAGGAGCCGTGGAGGGACGCAGAGGACTATACACGTGATGCATCCTCCGTATAGAAGAGCATACATAGCATTCAGCCAAGTCCGCACGGCAAAATGCCACGGCAACGAGATACGCAGACAGACGGAAAGCATCGGCGGGCCAAAAAGTTCGTCTACCATGTACACAGAACGTGCTCTCCTTCTCTCTAGACTTTGTACCATTCGACGGCCGATCGACTGCAGGGAGTTGCGAAAGTTGCTGCTAAGAAATCGGCGAGAGGTGAAACTTGCCGAAAAAATTGTTCTTGCGCTCGTTGCGGAGACCAATGGTCTTCTTTCTCACGCGCGCTCTCGTGCCCACTTGCAGGATGCGAGGATGCGGCGGATGCCTGTGCGGCGGATAGAGAGTGTCAGGTGCGATTGATTGGCTCTTGTCTCTGTAACTGCACCGGTTACAGTCACTCACGCTGTCTGCTGGGCAAGAAGTCGCGACACACGCAATGAACCCCTCCCCGACAAACATTTCATTAACCAACATCTTGCTGTTGCCGAAAGGTTTTTTGGTTGTGACTGGTGCCGCTCCGGATGTTCATGACTCTGACGGTTTATAGGAATGCCGCCTTGAAGCCACCAGCGAGGAGCAGTTGGAGTGGGAGTCGTGCCTCGCAAGGTAAGAAAGAAGGCCCGGCCGCACTCGGCCCTTGTCGACCGTATACAGTTGGAGTGAAAGTCGTGCCTCGCAAGGCAAGAACAAAGGCCCGGCCGCACTCGGCCCTTCTCGACCATACACCCGCCGACCCTCTCCCCCATTCAGTCCCCACTGCCGGGTCGTTACACGCCGCGATTGCTACATAACCGTCGCGCGATCAAGCCAACCGAAGACATTATTTTTGCCGTCGTTCTTTCGGTGTCGTGTTCTTCGCCCCTCTTTGCCCCCGCAGCTACGAATACGCGGCCACGTGTTCGGCGGTTTCGGCGACGTCGTGCTGCTTCGACGTGCTGTCTCCAAACGACTGCCTGGCAAACCCAAAGTTCGTTTCGTACTCGGAGTGTATCGTCCAGGCTACCAGCGAGCAGGCCTGCTCAAGCCTGTCTTGCAGGCACACGGAGACAACGACCACCTCCACCTCCGAAACGAGTGCTGTGGGAAGCGGGAAGCGGCCGGCGTCCATTGGCCGAGCGGCAACGTTGGTGGCTGCTTTCTTCGCGCTCGTGGGTGTGTTGCAAAGAACTTGAAACTGTTGCAGGCGGGGTGCGGGTGGTGGTTCCGCGCTTTTTTGCGGACGCGGGAACTCGTGTGTCGCCGGGAGACACCTGTGTTTTGCGGGCTTCGTTATGCGCATGGAGGACAACCGCCTCCCCAAGCGCATGCTGCTGGGAGCGATGGCGGGGGGTACCGGATACATACCGGGGCGGGCAGGAGAGCGACTGGGTGTATCGCCTAGGAGAGGACCTCGTGGCGTTTGGCATGAAAGAGGAGAAGGAGGGGGGGAGATGGAAAGAGAGCGCCAAGGACCAGGAGGCGTGGTACGACAAGATCGAGGACGGGGCGGCATGGTTCATGAGGAAATGGCACAGACAGGAGGCGGAAGCATCCGCGAAGCGCCAGCGCCAGCGCGCGGAGGAAGCAGAGACGGAGAGTACGGCCGCCCCGGGCCCGAAGAGAAAGAGAATCGGGGAAGCGGCGGGGGGGGG